GGGCAAACGTGATGCAAGATGAGAAGAAAACACAACTAATTTCCTAATCTAATTGACTGAATAAGTGTCCACCTGTTTATGGCAACTGACAGATTAAGATGGAAGTGGTCACTGCAGTTTGTGCTGCGAGGGCAAAATGCAGAAAAAGTCCAACAATTTTATCTGTCCTTGTATTGTATTTGTTTCCTCTCTGTCTTGTGTCCGTGTGAATACCTTCTGCTATTTTGTCAATCAGTGGTATGCTCCTCTGACATTGTTTTCAGTTATAGGTTAAAGACAGCTCTTGCTAAATGTGTGCTGAATAGGGCTGAGCCTGCAGGTATAGAAAATGCATGGATGGGAGAGAGTTTTTGCTTTGTTTTGGCTCTATACTCCCCTTTAAGCTTTAATTTGGAGGTTTACATAGATGTATGAACAGTGTATGATTTGTGGCCCTGTCCTGTTTCAGAAAAAGGTTTGTGATTACAGACTGTCAACAAAATGGACAAATAAACGCCATCAAACACACTCAAAGGTGGAAATCTGCATTTTACCCTCAGTAATTGTTAAATCTAAGCGTACAGCGCTAAAACAATTAAAATGTCACATACTTCTACTGCATGGTACCTGAAAAATGACTACAGAAGATTATTGTCACATAAACCTTTGTGTAACATGTATTATATCTTATCATTGTAGAGATAATCAAACACTAAACTCTGCCATAGTGAAATAACTCTTATTGTAGCCATAAAAACTCACTGGATTAAGATTTGTTTTAGGCTCTAAAACCAAGGACGTAATCAAAGAATAGTCCCCCCCCATTTTGAGGACCAGATGGTACATCCCAGTCTCTCCTCCTCTCCCTCTCCCATTCTCCTCCCTCCTGCTTTCAGTGTCCTCCATCTCTCCGCTTTCTCTCATTTTCTTATATTAAGGACATTATCACTTCCAGAGACTGCTGCATTTCCTCCTCATCTGTTTTCCTTGTTATCTCCACAGAGCTGTTGGAGAGGTATGTAATATCCAATATTTACTCTCATCACATCACTGCAGGATTTTATATGGAAGCATTTTTGTAAAGATGTCTCCAGCCTATATTCTGTAAAGTGCAAGCTGCTGCGATTTGTTTATTCAATTTCAGCAGCATTTGTTCCTCTTCATTATTTTTCCTCATTTGCATTTTCACTAATTTCCTCGCAGTCACAGTGGTTCTTATTTCTCTCCTCCATCTTGTCCTCCATTTATAGCACACATGACTCATGCAGTTTTACAGTGAGAACAGAGAGCAAGAGAGAGGAAGAGCTCTCTCTTGCTCTATATGCGTTATTGCATCTGGATTAGGCTCGTGTCGGAGTCAAAGAAATAGATTCCATCCTTGACTATGAATAAGCTTTGCAGTTGCAGTACCATTTTCTTATTCTTCTGTTACAAAACTAGCAAATTGTCCCATGAAAAAGCTTTACACAGTGGAAAATTATATCACAGCTGCTGTGACCAAAATAAACAATTTCCTGTCCTCTGAGCACTGGAGTGTTCCCATCAATGTCATCTTTTTCCAAGGTCACATTTAAGGCCTCACTACCACATTACTGCTTCACTGCTGTACAGTGAATCATGGATTTTAACGGCTCTTTTGTATGTCAGTGTCTCTACATTCAGCAGAGCAGATAACATGATGTCTGAGCCTAATTTAGAAGGATAATCCGGCTGTGTGTGTTTGCTGTTTTTTCTCAGTGAAGCAGCACAGAGCTGACCTTATCAAAACTCCTCCGAACCAGACCACACCTCTGTCCCTGAGTCCATGGAAGCCAAAGCCAAGACCGGGGCTCCAGCGCCCAAAGCAGCATCTAAAGCAGAGAAGAAGGAGCCAGCAGCCCCCCCACGCAAGGCTGAGCCTGCCCCTGCAGCCCCTGAGCCTGAGAATCCGCCTCCCCAGGATGGGGCAGCAGAAGCTGAACCAGCAGCGGCAGGTGACGAGGCTGCGGCCTCCGGCACAGACTCTCTGGAGCACCTGAAACCTTTTCTCATTGGTGGTGCCGTTATTGCTGCAGGAGCCATCTTGTTGGGAGTGTTGCTACTGGCAAGGAGAAATTAAAACCAAATCATTATCAAGTATCTATTGGTTGATGAGTTAGAGCATTGTTGCTGAGTGGTTCACGGACTATGACGGGGAATGGGGAGTCACTGTGCATCCAATGTTTTTTTTGGTTTTTTTGTTCTGCTTTCACTTGTCGTGAATCAAACCATTCAAGTTTTGATCAAGGCTGTATATGGAGCATAGTTACGCATAGTATATGCATGAAGTTGCTTAAATACTGCATCGGAACTGTAATAATCTATTTCTTAAAAGAACTCACACTGTAGTACTGAGCTTAAATGCATAAACTCTCTAAAGGTATCTTATTCAACTGCTTTATCTTGTTTAATCCAGTTTGCACAAATATTGACAAAAGCTTGCAATATTTGTACATTCCTGCACTGGAAATGAGCTTGGTTCACTTTGCTTAAAGATCATTGAAAATTGTAATACTGTTGAAACGTATTAATACTGGCTATGAGAGTTGGTTTAGGTTTTCTTTTACTTACTAATAAGACAACTGAAACAGTGGGTCTGAAAGGAGGTGGACATATGCATTGTGATGTATTGCACATTTTGGCTAAATCAATGCTAAAGTGAAGGGATTCAGTTTCTCTTTCTTCAGGTTACAGGGAGAGGGACACTGAATCCCTGCATGTCCAAAATATGTCAAAAAGAGAGCAGCAAAGTGCAATAAAACATATAAATCAACAAGAAAATATAAGCATAAGGTGGTTTAGAAATTAGATGTAGGGGATTGTTGGATATAAAACATGTACAGTATGTGGCAGAGAATAATAGTAAAGTTACTTCTTGCTGTAGAATAAGAGTTTTATTTTACTGTCAAATGATGTCATAAATCAATAACCTTTCATGTCTTACAACAGCCACAGTTGTGCTAGTTCAATCTGTTTACATCCTACAGTAGCTGAAGCAGGATGAACAGCCATTCATGTTGCAGTATCAGGTTTAAAGCCTGCTGCCAATACATTTGAGTCGCTGTTGTCTTCACCATGTTCCCCTTATGTGGCTTTTGGAAAAAAAACTCATTAATAACTAAGAACAACTGTAATGTGATGAGAAAATCCTAGGCTGCTCATACAGTGAAACTGGGGTGTAGATGAAGTGCTGTTGTATAGTTTACTCAAAGGAAAAAAAATATCAAGCAGTCACAGTTTTGTCGCTGCACATACTCACACTCTGTACAGCTGTACACAATATTGTCCACTCACATGTAAAGCTCATGGGGATGTTGCATAAGTAGATAGCAGAAAGACAGTTCTGACACACACCATTTCTTGATTTTAGTTGTAAGGGTATATATGAATTTTACCTCACATTACTGGCCAAAAATATTGTACGAACATACGACATTCACCACAGTCAACACCCCAACCACATCCAAAAGAAAGTACGCCAACACCAAAACAAACGTCACCTTACATTGTATAATACAGTGTACCAAAAAAAAGAAAAATCCTATTTTCATAATTTCAACAGCGTATAAATGCAATAATTCAGATAGGACTCCTCATTTAGCACACGTGCTGTAGCAAGTTAAATTACATTAAATGATGATGTACGGTAATAATATTGTTGGTGATAATTATGTATGATGTAATTGATGGCAATGACGGTGATATTACAGACAATGATGACAATAATGATGATCATGATGGTTATGATATATATTTTTGATATATTTCTAACATATTTTCCGTATGCACATTCCCCTCTGCCCCCAAACTCCTAAATGTAAAGAAGAAAAAGGTTGTAATCTAAGCTTTATTAAAGTCAGTGAACCAGCCCAAGGGAGTATTTCTTTGAGAACAATTGCACTCTTTATTTAATATTATTCAAAATTAGGAAACCTATAGTTGCAAACAGAGCTTCAGCCCTGCTAATTATTTAGAGTATGGTGTACCTGTCTTTCCATTAAACTGATCATTAATTTGTGTTTGTGTGATTCATTTGAAATCTCAGACAATATAATAATAATAATAAGGATTTCTTTTTTCATGTAAGCATGGTGGAGCAGTTAGCGTTTCAGTTAACTTTTTACAAAATGTTTGTAAAGCTGACAATTTGGAGGTACACACTTTGCATTTGACAAGTCAGTACATGTCCTTAATTACTCTTTAATAAACACATTTGAGGGATACTTACTAAAATATTTATGTATTTTGGTCAGTGTGTATTGTAATGTGGTTATTTTTGCTTTTAGTTATCAATATCTATACTGGCCCACAGAAGCCATTATGGGTCAGCTCTACTGTGCTCTACTTGTACCCACCACACCCGCAAAGATATTTCTTCATGGTGGCGGAATAGACCTCTTCTCGGGACCCAGATATAGGCTGCGTAACTATGCTGGGAGTATGCTGAGGTCACCAAGAAATCAGAAAGTTATAGGCCTAGACTAGAGCAACAGG